CGTTATGTTCACATGACTCCAGTCCCCGTCAGCAGCCTGGCAGCTCTATTTTGAACCAATTGAAGTATCCGGACCGTCTTCAAGGGTAGCCCCACGTAGAGCGCGTTACAGAAGTCAAGGCGGGAAGTCACCAGCGCGTGTGTCACTGTCACCAGGCAGTCGTACTCCAGGTAGGGGCGCAGCTGATGAATCAGCCGAAGCTGAAGGAAAGCGCTCCTTGCCACTGCTGTCACCTGAGCTTCCGGCGAAAGCTCTGGGTCGAGGAGCACTCCCAGGCTTGTAGGCTTACATGTCTAGAGGGCACCCAGTTGAGAAAGGCTTTCCTACCCTCATTGCTGCTGGACCTCTTCCACCCTGGTACCCAAGCCTATTCATCTCATGAGAAGTCAGAACTTACTCTTTTTGCCCTTGCTTGATGAACTGTCGTAATCACTTGACTCAATCTGTTTCTCTTTCAAGTCAGCCTCAAAGCGGGCAAGATCTGTGTCCAACCGCCGAATATGCTTATCTACCTGCAAACAAGAGAAGGCAAAGAAAATGGTAACAGAAAATCCCCACAAGAACAGGAGGAATTCAGGCAGGCCAAGATTGAAGAATTCTCATAAAATTCAGAAATTTATAAACAAAATTCTAGCTTTTTTTCATGAATGGGAAAAACACCCATCAATCCCATCTCATCAGGTTCCTGAATCCCTCCTTGCTGTGTCTCATACCATCTCATATGTCTGCATAGCCAGCTGTACTTTATCATCCCCAAACTCTTTGCACTTCCCATATGCTTCTTGGATTTGCTTGAGAAGTCCCAGTTTTTCCTCTGAAGACAGTGTCCGTGCATTGCTGATGTATTCAGTGGCCAATTTATCAATCTCTGATTTAAGGTCTGAAACAAAAGGTAAAGCAAAGTATTATAATAAATGCTACTGACATGATTATCAGAGTCAAACCAAAAGGATCATGAAGGGCAATGGCAATGATCACCAAAGTGTGGCAAAACCACACCACAGTCAATTTGAATCAGCTGAAGTCTTACTCTTGGTTTTACCTTCAACTCACCTTCTGTTCGTTGATCAAGGTCTCGCATAAGCTGGAAGTTTCTCTGCAGTTCAAATGGCAAATTTTCAATGCCTAGAGAAAGAGGGAGAAACAGAGAAGATCACCAGCCATGTAGGATCTTGCCCATGTTATCTTTTTTCCTGTATCATCATTCATGCTTTCCACTGTATGGTCAATATTAATGCCATACTGACTGAGTAACCACAGAAATAATTTCCTACAATTCAATTATTGTGGGATTAAAGATAAAAAGTGCTGGCTCACACATTTGGTGGCAGCAAATATATTTTTCCACCAACTATACACTCAACAAGGTACCCCAAGCAAGCTGTGCTTTCTTGACTAACATATCTGCATGATAAATGTATTTAGCATAATAAAATTACATTAGAAATACACCTCAGATACCTATTACATATGAAGTGCCTACTAAGTATACTTCACAACCCCCTTTCTCATTTCTGCACACATTTCACCAAACAAATCACGATATTGTGGGTTATATTTTTAAACACAAGCTAGAATATGCATACACTTGCACTGGAGTGTACTGAACTATTTTAATTAGCCTAACCCTAAGTCAAATTGCAGAGTAGAGGTAGAGATTTACAAACATTCTGGTAGCCCTAAAAATGCTCAATTTAAGATAAGTTTTATTAAAGACAGTATTAAACAATACGTTACTAAAGTCCTCTATTTCCACAATACTCCTTCTCTCCCACAAAAGAGAGGCAAGGTGAATACATGTGATAAAACTAAATATATTATGTACATTGCTAGATATAGTATTTTACATTACACAAGTTTTAAGAGACACAAACCTTATTACCTGAAGCACGCTTGACAGAAAAGAAAGGTGGGAATGGTAATACACAGGTGTTTGCAAGCACACATACAGATACAGACGACACAGGGCCTTGACTAGCTGCAGCGCCTGATACGAACAATCGCGTCAAACCCAGGTTTGTAGCTCTATTATAACGTATGAATTGGCCCACGAAAGAGAAACACACGCGCTCCTCCCCTCGCACGACCCACAACTACGCCAGAGAGAGGCGACTGCTGGTTATTATAGCTTCTCGTGAAAAGAGCAACACCGCCCGCATCCCGCGCCCGGTCTTACTATCCAAATAGTGTTCCAAGTACATCCCCGCCGCCATGTTGGGTTGCAGCCAAGCCGACCGACTCCTCTTCTTCCACAGACCCGCCCACCCTGGCATCACTTCCGCCCTTAATAGAACAACTTCCCGCTGCCGACAACGGCTTTTTCACCGCGTTCGAAATCACTTCCGCCCGGTTTTTGTTTCGCCGCTGGGGGAAATGAGACTGTGGATCGGTGCGGAGATGCTACCAATATAGGAGGGAGTTTACTGTCCTCCTCCAGTGGAGGGATGTAAAACCGAGAAAGTGCAGGTAGTGACCGTGTTTTCTAATTTCTTTAATTTGGACTAGTTTACTTTCGTTTTTAAAAGAAAAGGCCACCTTCAAAAATAGTACTTCGAGCATGTTACAAAGAACAGAGTTCTTTGATTCTGTTCTCTGTTCTGAAGGAAGAGGTATTTTGCATATGCTCAGAGGCATTCTGCTTAAGGAACCAACATTTCTGAAAATAAAAGGGGAAAGTAATGAGAGGCTGTGCAGGAAGCCATACGTTTGTGTTGAGTGATCAAGTAAAATAGTACTTTTCTCCGCTTGTGAGACGTATATCCTGCCTTTCCACTAAAATACTGCTCCATGTAACTAACAATAACGAAACATAAACATATAATTAAATATAAAAATGCGTCACTTAAGGACAAATTAAAAAAAGAGAGAAATAGCACTTACCAGTTCAAACTTACTTAAATACCCATGGTTTTGCCTGTTGGCAGAAAGACGACAAAGACGGAGCTACCCTGGCTTTACGTGTTTTAGAGCTCCAGAGTCCAGGAGAAGCTACTGCGAAAGGTTCCTCCTGTATGCCTTCTATTTAAGGATATTTCAGGTTGACTTCAGCTTCAGTGCACCCAGGGAAAGTTTATGGCATGCAGATCACTGCTTTGTTAGAATTTTTAAAAAGGTACTCAAAAATAGTATAGTATAGATAGGGGGTGATGTGAAAGAGTGCAATTGTGACTGTGGGCAGCCACTACCAATGGCAGAAGTAGAGATCTGTGCTCAATGTATAAGCAGGCTGATCTGGTGGAAGGAAGCATTCTACGTTCTTGGACAGAACTGTATGCCCTGTATTGGCAGCGGGCGACATAGGTCTGGAGAGCTGGAATGTCTTCTGCTCCTGACATACCCCTCTATAGTTTCAGGGAGAGGTATTTCCCACTTTACAGGACACATCCCTCCCCCACTTCCAGGATATAGACATAAAGACGCAAGAAAAGCTGTGCTGGATCAGACCATGTAGTCCAGCATTCTGCTACCCAGTGGCAAAGATCCCACAAGCAGGGTAAGAGCACAACAGCACCTTCTAGCCTGAGTTCCCAAGCAAAGGGTGTATACAGCCTAGTACTGCCTCTGCTACCAGAAGTAGCATGTAGCCATCCTGACCAGTAGCCAGTGATAGCCTTCTCCTCTCAATCCCCCTTTAAAGCCATCCAAATTGATGGCAGTCGCTGCATGTTATGGAAATAAAATCATATTTAAAGTTCAGCTATGTCAGGGGTCCCAAACTTTTTCTAAAGGGGGCCAGTTGACAGGTGCCAGCGGTGGGCGCGGGCCGCCAAGGCGGTACTGGTGGGGGAGGCGGGGGCCGGTGAGGGGGCAGGGCACACGCCTGCACGCAAGGCGGGGAGGGGGGGCACATGGGGGTGAGGTGCCAGCGTGCTTGTGAGGAGATCAAGTCCAAAACGACCTCCTCATGAGCAAACCGCCACCGGGTGCGTGCACGGCGAAGCGTCGGCTTGCTTGCGAGGAGATCATTTTCTCCGATTGAGTCCAAAATGATCTCCCTGCGAGCAAGCTGCCGCCTGGTGGCGAGGCACCGGCTTGCTCATGAGGAGATTGTTTTCTCTGAGCTAGTCTAAAATGACCTCCTCGTGAGCAAGCCAAATGCCCTCCCGTGCGCCTGGCAAGTGCAAAACCTGTGGGGCGGGCCAATTAAATGGGCATGGCAGGCTCAATCTGGCCGGTGGGCCTTCGTTTGAGGACCCATGAACTATGCACTGAGTGAAGAAGTACTTCCTTTCATCTGTCTTGAATCTCCCACCAGTCAGCTTCATGAGATGACCCTGGCATCTAGTATTACAGGAGAGGAAGAAAATTGTCTCTCCACTTTCTCCACACCATGCATAAAAATGATATCTCCCTTTACTCGCCATGTTTCAGAGGCAATCAATCAGCCTTTCTTCATAAACCAAGCCCTCGATCATTTTCACTGCCCTGTCCTGTTTAACTGTACAACATCTTTTTAATGTACAGCAACCAGAACTATACACACTATTCTAAATGTGCGTTTACCATAGATTTGTATAAGGGTAGCATGATACTGGCAGCTTTATTTTCAGTTCCTTTCCTAGTTATGTCTAATTCAGAGCAGCTGCACACTGGGCCAACATTCTCACTGGACTGTCCACCACAATCCCAAGATCCCTTTCTGGCTTAGTCACTGCTAGCTCAGATTTCTGTCACCTTATACCTGAAGTTGGGATTTTTCTGTTCAAGGTACATTATTTTACACTTGCTTATATCGAGATGCTCTTATATTATTCATGTCATTATTCCTCCTTCATGCATTCAAAAGCCACTAATCATTTTCCTTGCAAAGCGTTCTTTATTGACCAAAAAGTACAAAATGCCCAGAACGAATCTGTGAACATGCATACGGCAGTTTGTTGAACCCGATCTAGTAATCACCTCCAAGAATTCTCCTTATGAGCATGCCTGGGCTCCACCCTTTCAGAGCGGCCTTCTCAAAGCCAGCACATCTCCTCCCTGCATGCTCATCCTTTAATTCTGCTGCCCTCCTTTGCTGATGCCACATCATGCAGTCAAGAGCTGGCACTGTCTGGTCTGTGTCTGAGAAATTCCCCTTCTCCAGGTCCCCTTCTGCCCGCTTGGTTATTCCTAGGAATTGCCTATCACTTGGGGAGTCTGGCCTTCAGAGAAGCATCTCTGTTTCTCTCATCTCAGAGTTTTGGCTTGACCCACATTCCCGGACTTCCACTGGTTCTGCTTCATATTCTGATTCTTTTCAAGCCAACAGTCCTCGAAAAGAGTACCCAAAGTAGCCTCGTTCCTCATTCCAACAGTTACACTTGCATTTGCCATTTGATGCCTCTCCTTCCAGTTTGTGGGTATTCTTTTGGATTTCCCCACAATCTCTATTTGTTTTAACTATCCTAAATAACTTGGTAATATCATCAAGGTTGGTTAACTCACAGTTCACTTTTAATTCCAGATCATTTATGAATAAGTGGAGAAACACTGGACTCAGTATGGATCCCTATGGTACCCCACTGTTACATCCCTCAATGGGAAGCATTTACCATTAATTCCTACTCTCTGCTTTCTGGTCCTTTACTAGTTACTGATATGTAAAAAGAGTTGCCCTCTTATTCCATGACTGCTAAGTTGGCCTCAGGAGTCTTGGGTCAGGGATGTCAAAAGCCTTTTGGATGTCTAAGCCAACAGTGTCCAGAGGATCACTCTTGGCTACATGTTTATTGACATTCTCAAAAAATTCTAAAAGATGAGTGAGACAGAATGTACCTTCACAGAAGCAATGTAGATTATTTCTTAGCAGGGGTTGTTTTTTCTCCAATAATGGCTTTCAATCAATTCACCTGCAACAGACATCAAGCTACCTGGCATATCATTTTCTAGGTTTCTCCTGGATCCCTTTTTTAAAAAATGGGGTGATGTTGGCCATTCTTCAGTCCTCTGGTGTATTGATCTTGTGGACATGTCACCTATTTTTGTAAGAAGTCAGCAATTTTATATTTGAGTTCTTTGAGAGCTGTAGGGTGGATACCATCTGGGTCCTTTGATTTTTAATTTTCAGTTTGTCAGTAAGGTTGAGCATGTTATCTTTTGTAACCACTATTAGTCTTAGACCCTCAGACTGAATAGATCAGTTCAGGTGCAAGTATCTGTCCTGTATCCCCTGCAGTGAAGACAGATGAACAATATGCATTCAGCTTCTCCACTCTCTCTTTGTCCTCCTTGAGTACTCCTTTATTCCATTATAATCAAGTGGTCCAACTGTCTCCCTATCTGGTCATCTCCTGGTATATCAAACAATTTTTATGGGCTTTGATGTTGTTCATGGTATGTGCCTTAAAATGCTCTTTTGTGTGCCTCATTGTCTGCTTACATCTCCTTTGTGCAAGTCCATGCTCCCTTTTGTTTTCCTCATTTGTGCAGGACTTGTTTTCTGAAGAAGACTTCTATTCTCTATTAGCTCCCTTGACACTGCTTGTTAACCATCCTGGTGACCTCTTGACTTCCCTTTCAACTTCCTTTCACTAGTCCCCTCATGCTAGAGAAGCTTGCTTGCTTGCTTGCGTCCAGCCGGCTTTTCGTTTTTCTGTCTTTCTTATTATTTTTGGAGGCAAAAGTGGCTGTGCTGGCCCTCTCTGGCAACCCTTCACTTAAATGGATAGTAATCTCATCATGTTATGGTCACCATTTCCAACTGGCTTAACAACATTTACATCCCACAGTAGGTCCTGGACAAGCCTACCGAGGGCACAGTCACTTAGAACACTGAGAAATTTAACCTCTTTGTCAGAACTGGAACATGCTGTCAACATGTGCCCGAGGCTTTTTGCGAATGGGGCGGCATATAAATGTTCCAAACAAACAAACAAACAAACAAACATGGAGGTAGTGGAAGTCACCCATTATTACATTACCTCCTTGTTTCAAGGTCTCCCTGATTTCATTTTCCAGCACAAGATCACCCTGAGCAATGTAACCTATAGGACAATTACATGCTCCTAAGACTAAATTAATTTTGGAGCCAAGTATTGTCTGTGCCTTTCTCATTTTCAAGTCTGCAGGACTCTATGTCCTCTTTGATGTACAGAGCAAAATCACTCAAGTTTGCCCTTCCCTATCATTCTCAGTTTATATCCAGAGATAACCGTAGCCCACTGGTTCTCTCCATTCTACAGGTTTCTGTAATGCCCTGTCTGTCTAGATTCTCTTTTAAAAGTAGGCACTCCATACGCTCCTTGAATTTTTAACTTCCTTAGCTGATACTTCAGCATTTCATGCAACCAGGAAGTGTGCTGGTCGCACAATTTTAAAAAAGTGCTTTTAAAAATTCAGCACTTTTAAAAAGTCTTAATTTAAAAGTATATATATTTCTCCAAATTGATAGGCTCTTAACCATCCAGTTTGTTCTCAGTGGGAGTGCCAATAAAATTAAGCAGTGTATTCTCCATCCCAACTGTGTTCCTGTCTGTTCCGGGTGTCAGGTAGCTATTCCCTTCAAATGGGGCATTCTGCTTCTCTTCAGACTCAGAACTGCATCGGGCTTTTTTGTCCTCTAAGATTTTTAAAGTTGAGGTTCCCATGAGCAGCCTGGTAACTTCCCACTTATTTCTTAATGAATCCATTCTGCCTACAGTCCTGTTGGTGCTCGCCATTGGAGCACTATTAGCAGCCACAATATAGTGTGCATAAAGCCCATGTGTTTCATAGATACCATTTCGGCAATTCATGAATGGCCATTCAGTATTTCTTTTTAACTGGAAATCTTCAGCTCTTAGTTCATACTCATGGTCAGTAAAACACATCAGTTGTCAACTAAAATAACTGCTGAGAGCAGGCATATATATGATTATAACCCCTGTGGCTAATGTGGTGCTGCATGAGTCCAGCAGAGTAGTTTTTAAAATAAGCATTTCCAAGTAACAACACATCCTTTCCTGTGCTAAACTGGCGCTGTGTCATGTGAGCTCATCCCAGAAGTCAGGCTAAGCAGTTTGTAAGGTTGTATGGACAGCTTCTGACTAACAGTGGTAACCATCTGGGGCCAGAGCGCAGGACTTTTCTCAATAGCATTTAAGAAGTTAAACTTTTACTGCTGCAGCAGCAGTAAGCCTTTAGACCTCCACTGTGGTGGAGCTCACTTTGGGCAAGCCAGTTGCTCGGGGAAACAAATGCCAAGTCACAAATCTAAGAGTGGCCATTTCACATGTTTGTCTCCATACTTGTCATTTCCAGTGATGAAGGAAATGCTCATCACTCAGCAGGGCTGAATTGGTTTTATGCCTGTTTGCCTGGCCTTGTTTCCCACAGAGAATTCTGAAAACTGCTGTTTCGTGAGGATGCAGAGAATTCTTCATAGAACTGCAGTTCTCTGGATGTGAGTGAAAACTGTTAAACCAGTTTAAGCCTCGGGGGAAGATGCACCCTACAAGGTACTCTGACTGTGACAGTGAGCTTGTCTACATAAGATGGACAATCCGGTGCTTAACCGAAGCTGCTTTTTCTGCTTTCTTTGTGTCCTTCACATGAGGTCTGCCCTTCCCCTACCCCTGGTGAGGCTTCTCCTCTCTGCCTTTCTCTATGCTCCTATATATATTACACAATGCAAGGTGACACTGTGAATTGTGAAATTTTATTTGGCTTCTGTAGTGTATAAGAGTGGTGTCTGAGAAAACACCAGACATCCTCACTGGGATGACGGGTGCGTGCGTGAAGGGATGACGGGTGCGTGCAGGGTGACGGGCTCGATCGCAGTCGCGTTGTGGGGGCGATGGCCAGGCTCGTGCTGGAGGTTGGGGGGTGGATGGCCGTGATCTTTGTTGTTCTTTGTCACTTTGCTTCACATTTTTCTGATTTAAAAAAATAGTTACAGAACAGATTAACCTTATTTACATTGAACCTTATGGGGAAATTTAACTTGGCTCACAATCATTTTGGGTCATGAAAAGAGTCCAGGAACAGATTAAGTTTGTGCGTCCAGGTACCACTGTATTATGCTGGTCCTCCATCAGCTGCATTGGCTTCCTGTTCCAGTTTGGACCCAATTCAAAGTGTCCAAGTGATATATAAAGCCCTAAACAGCTTGAGACTAGGGTACATGAGGGAGCGCCTTTCTCCATATATTCCTGCCTGTCCAATTAGATCCTCTCTGGAAGTCCTCCTCCGTGTTTCCTAGGGAGATCAAATGGGAAAGGGCTAGTGCCTAGACTCTGGAATTCACTCCCCAGAGATATCTGTCTTGCGCTTATTCTCCTTTCTTTTAGACATCACATGAAAACTTTTTTTTATTTAAACAAGTATTTGATTAATTTTATGTAATACTTGTATACTTTTATGGATTTTTAAATTAATTTAATTTTGTGTTAGTATGTTTTATTTGAGGTGTTAGCTATTTTACTGTTTTATCTTATCTGATAACTGTTTTATTGTAATCAATGTATGTATTTATGCTCTAGCACTGTAGGCTGCCCAGAGAACCTTCAGGTTATGGGACAGCATAGAAATGGAATTAAATACATAATAAAATACATAATAATTTATACTTCCTATTCCTCCCACATCAGTGGTTCATACAGACTTTTTCATCTAGGAGATGTGCATCCTATTTCTCTTTGGAAACCTCCACATTTTCTGGGGGAAATGATAAGAAGCAAAAACTTTTATTTTTGGATGAGAAGGAAATGCCAGATATTAGGAAGCATATTGAATAAGTTCTTTCACTCTTTATGTCAATGCCACATGCAAAGCTCCTCCCGAAAAAGGTACCTGTGGATTATTTAGAGCACTTTTATCCCATTGATGAGAGGGTCAAACATGGTAGTTATTGAAAGTTCTTGTATATTATACAATTTTGAACAACTTTACAAATAATGTCCCATTTTTACAAACATTTTTAGTAAAACATGAGCAATGCTAAGCGTAGCATGAAGTAGTACCACACAACAAAACAAAGCAAAACTTACCAGATGCACAAGTCATGAATTTTAAGACAGGAGAGAGGACAAAAACAGGAGGACAAATACAGGCATACAACATTTTCTGTTTTTGTTTTTTTCATAGTGCCAAATAAATTAGACTGTAGTACTCACAGGATACTTTCTACACTCCCACCTCTCAAGTATGAGTGAAAAGCTCAGGTAGACCAGGGTCTCCAGAAGACCTGAGACCCTGTTCTGCTTAGGATCACAGAAGGCACAGATCTTTCAAAGTGTCGGAGGCTGTGGGAAGCTAGATGCATATCACTCCATCTTGAGATCTTCAACAGTGTAGAGGCAGATGGGAGAGTCGCTAATGAGATGGCCTCACAGGTAGGTTTGGCTGCAGGGTTGGATGGAGTGGGAGCCTCTAGATACCGCTGTCTCTCTGAGATGAAGAATGCTCGAACAAGAGAGGCACAGTAGGAGTATCCTGTTTGGAAGCCCCTGTCCTCTGCCACTGCAGGTAGAAAGAGCACATGCAAAGCACTTTCAGAAATCTTAGGAAAAGAGAACTCCCATCATGCATCCCTCTAACATGCCTAAACTGGATTTGTTTGCTTTCCCAAATTTCTAGCATCTCCTGTTTTGGTTCAAAGCAGGACACACTGGGGGTAGTTGATGGGCAGAACTGGAGGAAGGAGAATACTGGGAGGAGTGAAGCAGGCCCCAGTAGCTCGAGCAAGTTCAAGAAAATGGAAGCCAGAGAAGGTCATAGGAAGACTTGGGTGTGTGCCTCAATTTCATGGAAATCCAAAACACACACACAGGATGAGATACCTCCTTTCCCAAGGGAAGTCTGCCTGGTACCCAGCCTACTATCCTTCTGGTGTAGGCTAAGGCTTTATTGTTCTCCCAGACTTAACATTTTTTAGTATTTTTGTGCTTTATTATCCTAGCCCCTGCAACATAGAATTGTATATGCCATGCTGGCATGTCTATTAATTTTGTATTCTGACTATTTGTATTTTACCATTATTGTAAAACATCTATGACTTATTTTATGTGGCATTTAATAAATAAAGACCACACAATTCAGCTTTCTGACTATCATAGAGTACATCCCAACATAATTTGAAGAGGGAGGGGGCTATAAAAGCACACCATATTTTAAGGAGACATGCAACCTTCCCTTTAGAGTTGGGCTTGTCAGTCTGCCTGCAGATAATGTGCATACAAAGCTGATGGACTCATCATTATGTTGTGACAACCCCAATTTCAGATTATAAACCTGCCAACAGATGAGTCTGATGTTGCAGCTACCAGTTCACAAATGTTTATAGGTATACAATATTGTGGTCTCCCAACATCGACTGGGGCACCATAGGGTAGATTGGAATCCCAGCCAGGATCTTGGAAATGCTTTCTGAAGTCATAACTGGGATTCCAGTCCTAGAGGGGCGCTCTCTGCCAGTATGGTTCTTCCCACTGCAGGTGGGCTCCAAAGATGGAAGATGCTGTTTAGAACTGGAACAAGAGGGAGGTGTTCCAGGCACTGGAGATGGGAGGAGCAAAGATCTCACACTCCAAGGAGGGGCCCCAGCCTTCCTCCTTGCAAAGAGCAAAGCAATATTGAGATGGCTGAAACGGGCTGTCTGGGTGCTTTGAGGAGTGCTGGGACGATCCTAGCCTTCATGTTCTTCTCACCTTCCATGGGATCCTCTGAGTTCAGAGGGTCACAGGGGGCTATATAGAATGGTACTCTGAACTAATTAATGTTTAAAAATATCACAGAGTTATGTGTTGTTTTTGGTACAAGAGACTAACACAGAATGTTAGTCTACTGGAAAAATATTTTTAAAAGTATGGACAGTGCCTGCTGAAATTCAGGCACCAGGCTTCTGCTTCTGGATTCTCCGAGAGGTTAGGATCTCACTTTTTTACATATTCCTTTGGCAGTTATTCTCTGGCTTTTAAATATGTTGCATTGCATAACCACTAGATGACACTGCAGTATAGCAGAATTAAACAAATACATGGGCAGTTTCCTCCCACCATTCCAGGAAATGCTAGAGTTTTCTCTTTAGAATCCCTACCCCACTATACTTCCTGCAAGGAAGGGGAGACACCCTAGTGGGTGAGGACATCATCCACCTGGAAACTCCTGTGGAAGAGGAATCTCAAGCACATAATAAGTGTTTCATGAAGAAAAGCTCTCTGTGACTGGTTCAAAGGCAGCCTCTTGTGACCTTTGTGACTGAGTGGAGGCTGAAACCTGGACCTCAGAAGTCCCCATCATTGCATGACTTTGCTATGACATCCAGTAATGCAATCCATTCCTAGCTATCGCCCTCACCTGCTACCTGCAGCATCTGTATCCGCCGCACAGTCATTTCCAGGAGTGCTGCCTTGTCCATGCGAGAATGAGGAAGAGGCTAAAGAGGGGAACAAAAGTAGTACATCGGTTTGGCCTGGATCCAACCTGTGTGCCTGTGAATGCTTGTATATAGAGGGAAGGGGGAATCACAAACAGCAGCAACAAGAAATGTTCTCAGTGAACAGAGACTGTTGACATCCAGTGAGCACTGGGGCATGTCTGTGTTGTAAAATTACACAAGTTTACAAATGGATTTCACACGTCCCCAGCAGGTGGCACTATAAGTCCTCTGTGAAGAGGCTAGGCATCCTTGATAAGAAACTAGCTCACCCACAAAACTGCAATTCCTAGGATTCTTGGAGGAAGCCATTATAGTTGAACCAAGCGGTGCAGATGTCTCCGGTACCGCAGAATGAAGCAGGGCTATTTTTTGGCAAGTGTGTGCATGAACACTAAGCTCTTTGAGTATTAGCCAACAATTCTCAGAAGGTAGGATTGCAGACTACAGTGCTGGAGCGTGTTTCCTAGCTCTTTATCAAGTGACCACTGAGGATGTTCATTGATAAATACTGATTAGGGAAAGGGGGGAACCCTATACAGAACACAGTGGCAATCACAAAGTGGGAAACTGCCATGTTGGATCAAATTACTGGTTTGGGTGCATTTCAGCTCCTTTTGAAAACCTCCATCAAGGATCATGGGATTTAATCCAAACCAGTGGAATGGAAACTGCTTGTGGAATAGTTTTTCCCACCCCACTCTCTGCAGCAAATTGTGCTTCCAATAACTGAGGGACCCACCAATGAAGAGTTGGAAAGCATGTGGGGGATTACAAGAGAGAGGAGAGCAAGGGGAAGGCCTACCATGTACTGTTGGATATGTACGTAAAAACCAGACATGCAACTCAATAAGAAAAAGGTTGACTGTGCTGGAAATCATAGTTTGTATTGTAGTTCTTCCTCCAAAACTGTAATCAGGCTGCTGAGAGGGAGTAGAAGCAAATGGCAGGTGAGTCTTCCTACCTTCCTTATTCACTATGTGCTCACACACCTGATAGGGTGAAGGATGGAGCCAAGAGATACAGAGAGATTTTTGTTCTGCCCATCAGCCTCTTGGGATCTACCTTTTAATGTACAGGCAGCTGTCTCTTAGCACTGTACTCAACAAAGTTAGTTGTCTCTAGGCCTGAAAAGATTAACATCCTCTTGTGTAGCTGCTGGCTGGCCGAATAGGGAAGCTTGTACCAGTATCTGTTGAACTGTTGCAGCTCCCACAAAAGCAGGGCCAATGCTAGGTGCCAAAAAGAAAAAAAGATCCAGGGCTCAGGCCTACAGGACAATGCACAACATGTGTCTTTAAAGCACCCTGCCTCCCAAGGACACCCCTATGTGTAAAAGGGAATCTATGGACAGGGGAGAGAAGGATGTTTGATTTCACAAAAACCTCTCATCCCAAATGGAAGGCAGCATCATGGTGCTGGGGTGCCACCAAGGTCCTTACCTTGTTTCCCTGGTTGGTGTCACCTAGCAAGAGAACCTTCAGCTGATTCAGAGAGCGGGCAATTCGATCCCTTCGCTTCTTCTCCATCAGTGGTTTGATAATCTGCATGTGAAAAAATTCTTGATTAATAGAAGAATTGGCTGGGAAGCTGTTCATCATGTTGGACAAGAACAATGGGAAAAGAGAACAGGGGGATAGCTAAACAGGCTTGTGCCTGACTCAGGAAGTCCAAGTGTCATTCCATGTTGGCCCCTGCGAATTGATATGGAGCATAATCCAGTGGGAGGTTCTCTTGAGAAACCCCCCCACCCACCCTCTGAAATGATCAGGATGGCCTTGTCCTTGCACAACTTCTGTTCATTTCAGTGGCGGTTGCACAGGTGAACATCCCATGGGCTTGTGCCTCCTGGGTCACAACTCTCTGTCTCCCATTCTGCAGTCCATAATAGTTCCCCAAACTTACTGCTTATTGCAGTGCATCACTGCAACTGTAAGGCCACCTCTACAGTAAACCAGCCAAATAGGAGATGTATCACACCAAAAACGAAGAACCGGTGAAACAATTTGGACAAGTACCCTATTGCTGAATGACTGCATCTTTGTAGCCTGTATAGATAAAGTAATATCAAACTGTTTAGATGCTATTCATCTTCACCAGTGCACTTATCTCAGCTTACTGCTCATTACACCTCTCTGGCCAAACCACCCTAGCCCCTTTCCCCCCACTCCTATTACCAGCAGTAGTGGGTTTTTTAAAATAATACTACATGTACCTTTTTGTACACCAGACGTTTGGGCTGTTCCAGATGAGACTTCCTGCAGCTCCCTGCCCTTGGTGCTGGTGTCCCGGTCAGCAGAGTTTTGCTGCCCACTCTCTGAAGGCTCATTGTCTTGTTCTCCAAGTATATTTTCAAATTTCCCTCCTTCTGTCCCTCCTCCTCTAATTTATAGGACACCCCGGTACAGCTGTCACTTCATCAGCAAATCCTTCCCCCCAAGATGGGCAGCCAATGAACAGCTGCGGGGCGCTTTCCGTGGGAGGCGTGTGACTGTGTGCAAGAGGCTGCCCTGGGCTCCAACCAGCAGTGGAGGAGGGGGCCAGGAGGGAATTTCAAAAGGGGTCTCTCGGCTGGCCAGCTGCTCCTTTGGGGTGGGGGATAAAGAGGCAAGGAAGAGCCTGGGGCAGGGTGAATAGGGAGAGGGACCCGGGAGAGGAGCCTATTGAGATGGAAATGAGATTAGACCCAGACAGCTGGCCTGAGTGCGTCTGTCTTCAGGAAGGAGTGTGTGTGTTGTGTGTTGTGTCTGCACTTCGGATTTCAAATGTCAACACAGCTCTATGGGCAATACAGAGCCCCCAGCCTTCCACCAAGCTTTGAAGGGTTGCCAAGGCAATGTAAGGCAGCCCGCTGCGGGGGGGGGGGGGAATTAGGAGCTAGAAAAAGTGCTTCCTCCCCCATCTTCTTTTCTCAATAGCAGGAGATACACAGCTGAGCAAACTGGCCCAAAAGGCAAAATCTCTCACTCAGCCACTGTTTTATAAAATGATGAAGAAGATAGCCATTGTCTCACACGACTCCTACAAAGAGAGTAACTATAGAATTCCTAGAGTTTGCTTTTTAGAGTAGCTCATTGAAAGCCCCTGAGCCTGGTCCCCCCCCCCCCCCCCCTCCCTAGACTTAAAGCTTAAAGACTTAAAGCTCTCTGGCTCAGGCTTTAAAGAACTGTTGCCAGTTAGATTAAGCAGTTGTGGGATGAACAAACCAACAGTTTGACTCAGTGTAAGGATATGATGTATGTTGAGTCTACTTTTTTTAATTAGCTGAGGCAAAGGATCTGTTAGAAAATGGAGGGAGACTGGTGGAAAGCAGTAGAAATTGAGCCTTACCATGAAGCTGTTTTGTGGCTACTGTGAGTGAAACAGCAAAAGGGAGCGAATGCCAAGGAATCTCTGGGTACAAAGGGGCGTAGACTTGGCTGGCTGATGGGGGTCAAGTAGGCTCATGCCCCCTAAGGAAAGGCCCCTGGACAGTTCTGTATTGCCCACATTCACAAAAAGATGAATAATTCCAGCCCCTCGGCTCTTCCTACAAATATGTACTACTCAGTAGATTGGAGCTGCAGATTTCATCAGTACCATGTGCTGCACTCCCCATGGGGGCTGCTGAGCTGGCCACAAAGCAGGGCCTGGGTGCAGCAGCTACTTATGTTCCCTGTTAGCCTCACCACATCTCATGGCAGAGGGTGCCGGTGTTAACTGCTTGCTGTCTGAAGAAACGCTTCATTGCATCTGTGCTGAATTGGTCACCGTTTGATGACCTTGGGCTCTGGTGTTAGAGCCCAAGCCATGCATAAGCACCCATCCATCATGTCTGCTCTTACTTTTTCTCCTTAACTTGAATAACTGCAGTACTTTCCGCTCGAAAATAGCTGCGTTGAGGTGCAGTGACCACCTCAGTACTGTACACAGTATTCCAGGTATGGACACACCATCCATTTGTACAGAGGCAGTATGCTATTGGCAGTTTTATTTTCCATCGATTCCCAAGACAGAATTTGCTTTGAGGCCTTGCTGAAAAAGCTCCTCTCCACCTGCTAGCCGGTGCATTTGTTTGTCCCACACTAGCTTTTGAAGTGCCTGTATTAGTGAACTGACCTCAGTGAGTTCTGTAATTAACAGCAGATTTTTCTCATCTCGCAGGGGCACCTGGCTTTGGGGGGATTTTGTTACAGAATAACAAAATTCTGTAATGATACTGAATTAGTAGTTCAGTATCAAAATGATAGTGAACTAATGATACTGAGTCAAAATGATACTGAGTTGGTAGTTACATGAAAAGAAGCTAATACACTTTATTCACATACTATGCACTGAACTAAAGGACACCTCAAATTCTGCCCAAAAGGAGCAAACTAGCAGAGACAGGTGTCATTTAAAAATATATATTTTTATGTGGGGGATGGGGACGGGGACTCAAAGGTTGTTTTTGAATCATATAAAATGGGATTTTAATTTCATTTTAAATAATTAAACATTATTTTAAATAATTTAATTATTTATTATTTAAATAATTTAATTATTTATTATTTAAATAATTTAAATAATTAAACTTTTATTTTAAAAGTATTCATGCAACATGTATTTTAATAGAAAATACTTGCAATTTAAAGTAATTTGGCATTTAAAATTTCTCTCAAAATGTTCAGAACTACATGTTTAAAAACAAATTCCTTCTTAGCATAAAGCTCTGGAGCAGGCTGCCTTTGTCTTTTACTTCTGGCTGAAGGAAAATGGACAACAACAGACCAGGAATCAGAACAGCCTGCACCAAACCCATTAAAAGCAAGGTTTAGCTGTGAATTAACTGTTGGTGTAGTTATATTAGTTTGTCCACTATAAAATTATTCAGGGACACAATTTCTTTAGCTTGCATTTGTAGCAAGAGAGTAGTGATTGCCATCAGGAGTTTTTGCACAATGCTGGAACTTACTATGCACCAGGTTCCCTCAGTGGTTTCCTTATGGGCAAGCACTAATCCCTAATCAACCCTTAGATTGTCACCTAGGCTTAGACTTTGCAAAAAGCAATAAATCGTACAAGATCGGACTTTAAAGTTGCCTTTAAAGCAGGCTCTTAAAGTACTAACTGCAGAGTCCAATGGGATAACTGACTTCTCTAAGCCAAACCCTTCTTCCATCCAGGACCCAGAGCCTCCATTTGCTTCTCCAACCCTCCTACCAAAAAAGGCAGGACTGCTGAGAAAGGGAAAGATTCCCAGCAGGGTAGCTGTATGAGAAATTTTGTTCCTGACTCACAAGGCTCACACAGTCCACAAACAAGTTATATTTAAAATGCATGCAAATTTATTTTAAGGCTGCTTCTATTTTCATATGGATTTGAGAGACCCCAATATAATAGCTAGGAAAGTAGAGCTCACCCTTTAAAATAATTAAGTAGAGCCAGCCTGTCTTAAAATCCACTCCTGTAGCTCTTGGTCGAAATGGCTTCCAAAGCCTTGGAAGGCCTTTTCTCCTCCCATGCGCCCCTGCTCCCTCCACCCATGTTTGTGCCCAAGAGCTTGAAAGTATTGGATCTCCTTAAAATAAGGTCTAAGTGAGCTATATGGGTTTCACAGGCAGAGGTGTGTGAGAACATAAAAGCCATGCTGGATCAGACCAGTGGTCCATCCAGAGCAGCACTTCGTTCACATGGTGGCAAACCGACTGGCCACAGGATCTCTCAAGGAGGTCGTGCAGAAGAGATCTGCCTGCCCAAGCTCCTCAGCAGTAGCTGTCCACAGGCATACCGCTTCCAATAATGGAGGTAGCAAATAGCCAATAAAGGGAGTAGCCACTGATAGCCTTCCTGAATTTGTCCAGTCCCCTTCTAAAGCCATCCAGATTGGTGGCCATTACTATTTCCTGTGGCAGTGAATTCCATAGTTGTGCCATGTGAAGAAATATTTCTTTTCTGTCCTTTAAGGCTCTGCTTAAAACAGAACGGTAAATCCTAAATCACAGAACCTTCAGAGGAGAACACGAACAGCATCTAAATCCACATTTTGTTTTTCCCAAATGGCAAGCTACAGATAAGCAGGATTAAAAAGGTGTGTGGGGGAGGCATTTTGAGTCCACCTGGGAGCACTTCATGAGAGCTGCAGTGGAACTTCTCCTGCATTTCTTGTTAAAAAAGGTCCCAAGTGCCATCTCAATTGTATCCAGCAGATGATGCTCTTACACTTGGGACACCCCCAAATCTATCTATGGCTCATATGTTCTTAAGAGTGGCTATTAAAGGAAGAGTATAACAAAAACTTTGGTGCACCGGGTAGCACCTTTTAAATAAAAATACATACCCACTGAATGCTATTGGGTCCATTTTAATCCCCTCCCCGGTTCTTAACATGCCTATTAAAGTGAACAGTATGTAGCTACGCTGAAGTCTGAATGGTGCTCAGCTTTATCTTAGAACCAAGAGTGTAGGAAAGACCACCACAGAGCTAGCATGGCGCATGAGACCAATGGATATATCACAGGGGTGAGGAACCTCAAGGCCAGTGTCCAAATCTGGCCAGGTGGCCATACCTCCTTCCCATGGCCCGTTCCCCCCCTTTCTCCCCATCTACCAATCTTTCTCTGCTTTTACACAATTTCTTTTCTCATTCTCAGAGGCCAGAGCACCTCTCCTGAGTCTTAATTATAGGCAATAAGAGCTTTAAG